TTTCTAAAATTTTACTGTATCTCCTCTTGTAAAACTTTTGTAATAATTTAATCATTCTATTAGTCAACAAATTTTGACCTAATTGAAGATAATGACCTCAGCAAAGATAATGCCAACTTTGCCCTCACTCCATCCATCTTCCCTTCTTCCTATAGACACCTATCCTAATTTTACATAATAACCCCAACCTTGAGTTTATGCAAATGACAACTATTTGAAAAACTCAATTATTGAAGTCACCAACATGAGAAAGATATTTGCATCTCTATACATGTAAACATGATGTTTATATCTAGGGTTTGGTTATGGTGTGCAACTTACACCTTACACCTTATACCTTACACTTACACCTTACACTTACACTTTTTGTAAAAAATTAAACCTTACACTTACACCTTTTTTGAGGTTGCACACCATGTGCAACCCACTTACACCTTACACCTTACACTTACACCTTATACTTATACTTACACCTTACACTTACACTTACACTTTTTGTGTAAGTGGCACATGGTGTGCACTTGCACACTTAAGAAAACTCCTTATATCTATCGTCGTATATTAGTTTCAATTATTGTTTTGGATATAGATAGAGAGAATAATAGAAATAGAATGTTTTTTTTAAAGAGTGGTGAAGAGACAAATATAAAGTGATGGATGCCAAGTAGAGGTGGGAAGGAGGAGTGAGAGAGATGGCATCTATAAACCAAAAATTCAAGTTGATATTTCAAACCTTTTTTTTTTTTTTTTTGTATGTCAATAATACCCTTGTATAAAAATTTAGGTATAACCCTATAACTGCTTAGAAGTTAATTCACAAAATAATTACTGTTAAAACTGCTCTTTAAATTTTTAATTTCTATTTATTGACAAACTACAAAAATAAATTTTTATTTAATTTATTTATATAATACATAAATATTTATATAACCCACACACATTTGTATGAGTAGAACAAAGGGAAATTCTATATGTGTTTGCTGGATGATGAGTTGCTGTTTTTGATCAATTTATGTCCTCAATATGATCTGAAAGGTCAGTTCGTGATGATATGTTCCCACTATCACATTTGAATGAGTAAGAAAGAAAATTATGTAAGTGAGAATAATATAATATTGGAATTATATAATATAGGAATTAAGGCCTTGTTTGGCATGATCTAAAAAAATTAAAAAGTCACTATCTTATTTAAGTCACATCATCTTATTTAAGTCGCATCACCTCTCTAACGCATCACTTCAAACCCAACACATACCAAACTCATATGTCATAAAAAGTGCACTTATTTAGATCATCTCAAACCATCCCTAAGTGAGGGAGTTCATTTTCTTACCATTTCACACCCAACTTACAAACCAATTATGAGAAAAGAATTATCTTTCTCACCATTTCTTATCATTTCTAACCAATTGCCTCATCCAACACTACAGGAAATGAGGCAATTAACGGCGTTTTATTAAACGTCACATTTGCTAATTTTTAACGGCGTTTTGTAACCGTCGCATATTTTTTAAAACCAAAACGGCACCGTTTCTAATTGAAGGCGTTTAAAAGCGCCTCTGAATGCTGTAGGTACACGCACCCCTTTATGAAACCCTTATTTTTTAATCTGAGTGCAAATTTCGCACACATCTCTCTCTCTCTCTCTCTCTCTCTCTCTTTCTCTCTCAGCGACAAAGAAGACGGAGGAGATCAATCGGCTGTTCTTGAAGCTTGAATATATAACACTGAGTCTTAGCTTGAATACGCACATCTCTCTCTCTCTCTCTCTCTCTCTCTCTCACAATCCTTATACGCACACATTTCTTCATCGAAGCTCCATCTACACCTACGATTTCGAAGATTCAGAGCGATTTTGAAGCGATTTCGAAGATTCAGATCGATTTCGAGATTCAAAGCGATTTCAAAGCTCCATCGCCACCGTCATCTACACCGGCAAGGTAGCGAGCTCCACCGTCTCTCTCTCTCTCTCTTTAGATCAAGTTAGTAAATGACTTGATCCTCATTTATTGAACATTAATCGATACTCTCTCTCTCTCTCTCTCTATCTCTCTCTCTCTCTCTCTCTCTCTTTCTCTCTCTCTATTTCTTTCGAATTTTACTGCATGTCTAACATTTGTATACATCAATATGTGTGTTTGTTGAATTGTTGAATTGATCTGTTAGGTTCTTTTTTGAACTGAAAGAAACTTCTACACTAATTTTCATAGGACAATTTGGATAAATAGGACACAATATTGGGCCAAAAAAGATTATAGTTCAACAAAAATTTAACCGTAATTGTGAATCAATATTCTGGAAATACATATTAGATCACTGAGCTGCAAAACAAACATTTGTTTGCCTGTGTTCATGTAATTACCTATATATTCACCATTTACAAATGCAACCATTGGTGGCCAACGTTTGCTATTTGTAGGAATGGGTTAATATCAGAACGCATTGGTAAGTTGCGGCAATCAAAATGTATACTGCAAGATGAATTCAAAAACATGTCAGATCTGTGGAAAGTTTGGAAAGAAAATTGTGAAAGTTGAGTAAGATAGGATTACCTGGTGTTGTACCAAGCATAGTCTGAGGTATCTTTAGTCAAGCTATAGAGCTCCAATGGAGACTTGCTTTTTAGTGGTAATTGGTGTATGTTTGGAATACTTTCTTGGGACATTTCCCATTTAAGATTTCGTGCATTGTTTGATGGATGGAAATTCCTAGCATAAATATGTGTAGGAAGGTGAGTGTCATTAGCAACACATGAAAACAAAAGTTTGAAGAGAGGACTATCAGTACAAATTTTGGAAGTACAGATACACAGTTGAAGTGTGTGTTTTTTTTTAGAAAGGCACGGTTGGGGTGTTAATTAGGCAGTTTGGGAAAATTAAAGTTCAAGTTTGAAATCTGACCATAAATGGGTCCAATTATAGTATGTTTTAAAATCTTAGCTCACAAGCAAATGGAAGTCAAGGTATAGGGACTTCCAGACTTGTATTGAATAATCTAATCCTATATGCTACTAGTGTGTCTTGCTTTCGCTTTTTGTCATAATTGGCTTCTCATAACTAAGTATTATTATTTGGATTAAAGACCTAGGATAATAATGACATCTTAGCCTATTGGTTGTCCAATTCCTCAACTCTTCTGCTGCTACTCCAGCGTACATTGAAAGCAAGTGGTGCTGCTGGAATGGCTCCTCAGTGCCGTCGATCATCCTCAGCTACTCTGTTTGGAAGGATGACACAGGTAATTTAAAGTTCCCATTTGAATTTCCATGTTCTGTCATCAAACGAAGTTTTAGTCCTTTCGTTAGTTCAGGTGTTTCCTATTATTTTCATTTGCAGAGTTGCTGAGGAACTCCGCAAGGAGTTAATCTTTCCTTTGTAAATGATGGCCTGACTAGTGGAGCAGAAACTTTACACCAAGTTGAAGCCAAATACCCAGCTTTGCTTTTCAACCAATAACTTACAGCATTTGTAGAAAAGATTTATGGAATGATTTGAGATAACCTTAAGAAAGAGATTTCTCCATTGCTTGGATTATGCATCCAAGTTATTGAATCTGTTTGATTCTTAAATTACTAGGCACAATTTATTGTAAAAGGAGGAATGAAATTCTTTATTCTATGGGTTATTTTATTAATTTACTTGGTAAATTATTTCTGTATAAAATTTCTTTCGGAATATGAAAAAATAGGCACCAAGAACTTCGAGGGCAAGCTTGGTTAAGGGATCATCACGTTCAGTTGCAACTACAGCAGCACAGCAAGCGTTGATTGCTCACTGGCAAGGGATTGTGAAGAGCCTAGGAATTTTCTTGAACAGTCTAAAAACAAATCATGTCAGTAAAATTTGTCACTGCTTTCATTCCTTGTTATGTCATTTTTTCTTCCCCATTACCCGTTTCGATAAAATTGGTGTCTTTGTCTGGCTTCTTGACATTGTTTTTATTTGTCTGCTTCCAACCCACTTCAGCTCTCCAAACATGCCACTTAAATGTGCCATTTACATAGTTGACTGGCTTGGATTTTGGGGGAATGCTTTTGTTTCTATCTACTGTGCATAGATTTTCTCTTGAAGCACCCTTTTGCTTACCTGTTTTCTTTTTCATTTTACTATTTTCAGGTACCTCCATTTTTAGTTTGCAAGGTGTTTACACGAATATTTTCATTCATCAATGTTCAACTATTCTTCAGGTAGTCTGCTTGTTGTCTTTAGATGCTTTTTGAAGTTTTTATACTGCAAGTAAGTTTTTTCTTATGGCCTTGTGCACGCTTTTTGGGACCACAGCCTTCTATTAAGGAGAGAATGTTGTTCATTCAATAACGGTGAATATGTTAAAGCAGGACTCGCTGAACTCGAACATTGGTGTTATAATGCAACAGATGAGGTAGCATCAACATTGATTTATTACCACTTCACTTTGTGTTGTATAATTTCTATTTTAGTAAGCAAAAACATATTGCAGTATGCAAGTTCAGCTTGGGATGAGCTCAAGCATATGAGACAGGCTATAGGGTTTTTGGTATACCCTTCCTTTCATTGTTCATCTTGGACTCTTCTCTTTCACCATTAGTCGTTCTAAACTTTGAAATGGAAGAATCCCACCTGAAAGGAAACACAATTCCATAAACCACAAACATGAGATATTAGCATCTCTATAAAGGATGGAGTGCTTTTCATTAACTCTTTTGATGACATGAAAACTAATAATTTTCTGCATCAATTGGCAATCTTCTTTTAAACTTACTTGAACCAAATATGAGAGGTTCCAATTTCCACTCTATTCACTACACCAAAAGAATGTAGGATTCCACCATCAATTCAATATGTAGGAATATTACCAATTTAAGACTTCAATAAGCATATATGCCAACAATTTATGATTATTTGAGATCTTCAAAAGATAAAATTCTGTCTGGCAACAAGTTTTAAGTACTGTTTATAAGTATTGGGAACAAATTCTTTAATTTGTGTTTATTTTGGTGAATCTGACTGCAGTTTATGTTCTGCAGTTTTTCAGTTTTTCCTATAATCCCATCAACTTCCTATCAAGGAATTTCCTTTTGCACTCAATAACTATATTTGTGGAAAGTCTTTTATCTGCTTGCCTTAGCATTCCTGGATCTCAATCTTTTTGTTGTCATTGTTGACAGATTCAAGGATTATATCCCTGCAAAGTATCATTCCTTATATGAGCAGTACCTTAAAAGAAGTGACAACGCAGTCGCCATGTGAAGTAAGAAATTCTTCCATGTAAAGTATTTATATAAACCAAACCAAACCAAACTAAGCCTTAAGTCCCATCCCATCATATCTTTTTTTAGCAGTACCTTGTTGAAATAGAAACAAATGTTAGCTATATACTTATATATATATATATATATAGAGGGAGCACCCAATTTGGTGTTATATATATATATATATATATATTATATTTTGTTAATTTGGCACACAGTGTGTGCCTCACCTTCTAGTACGATGAAATGTAGTACTGCTACAGGTTGTTGAGATTTTAAGTTGAACACAAGTGATACTGGCATATTGAATGCAATTTGAGTAAACTAGTTTCAAAATTGAGGAAAAAATTAAATTATTATTTTTTGCTTAATATGCTTTGCAAGATAAACTCTTTGAGAGCAGAATTTTATTGTTGATTTTCAGAAAGGCTCGACAACTAAATGATGAAGTTACTTGATGGGCCAAAAAGAATCTGTATATGTGCTCCATTTGTGTTCATACTTTAGAACATTTGGTAATTTCTTACTTCGTATGTTTTAATATGCAGAGTATTTGAGGTCAATGGAAAAATAAACATCATTTTGCGATTTGATTGAATATGTTCTTGAAGTTGTTAAGTTGTGTCATGGGTGGATGTATCTTCGTCATCATTTCTGGTTTGATTGATTAAGTTGGCTGATTTAGTGGACTAAATACTTGATTTTTGTCTTTTTCTCAAAAGAGATCTGCGGTTGCACAAGTTGGTCTTATTTTGTTCGTGGGCAGGTTGTTAAGATGAGCACATAGATATTATTATTTTGGTTTAAGGACATGTTTATGTTGCTTTTTATAAAGATCAAATGTATTAAACAATTAATATATTTTTTTATTTTTGTGGAAGCAACGCTTTCCTAGTAAAACACCTTGTTGTCTCTTCAGATGGTCAATTCACCATAATTTCTCTTTAGAAGCTTAAGCTGTCTCTTAATAGTTTACATAAGCCTTCACCAATAGAAGGCTCTTGAAAATGGTTCCACTAAATAGAAACATTTTTCAATTTGGTTATAGAAATTCTTGCCTCCCATGGACCAAATGCATGCAAAAACTCTGTTGTGTGGTGTCTTTTTGCTAAATTCTGCAATTCAGTTTTGTCTGTCTCTTTTATTTATTTTTTTCTTTCGTAATCAGCATTTGTGAGCTTATATTTTTCTACACATTGATGATGCATGCAGGGGCCATGGTTTCAGCAAATCAGTATTTGGCCCTCAGACAATTATACTGTGTGACCTGGTATTTTGTTGATATTTTTGTCTTCGCTTTGCCATGTTTGAGTTTCCATGTTCTTTTTTTGGTTCTTAAATACTTTCGATGAAGCTGTCAGGTACCTCAAGTCTCTCAAGGTTGAAGTGCAGAAAATTGGAGTTGGAAACCTATAGAATTAAGCTTGAATCTTTGTTGCAGTAACAATGATTGAACCTCCTAGTGTTACCATTAGTATAAGTTCATCCTCTCTCTCTCTCTCTGAGCAGGTTGGCTGTACAGAAGGTGATGATGCCGGTCTTTCAAATGCGCACATGATTATGGCAGAGATTCCAAATGCTTCAGAAGCGGTGGTATAGGTGCGTGACTTGGGGTGAAAAAATAAATTTCTAGCAGTATGGTGGTTCTTGCTTTATGTAGGAAGGGTAATATTTGATGTGTATTATTAATACTCTGTTCAACTCTGGAAATTTGGAGACATTGGTTAGAAAATCTGGACATGAATGCTTGATGCTTTGTGTCTGACCCAATGAATATGAAGGCATAATTATTTCTTGGCTAAACACAACTTTTAAGGTGGTAATCTGACCCAATGACAAACGTTATCCATCCTAATTTATGGCATTGATTTGAGTAGTGGAAATCATTATAACTTCTTCCCAACCCTATTGCCTTATGCACTATTATTGCTTTTTATTATTCAATTGTTAATTTCACTTTTATCTTTAAATTATTCTCATTTTATTTTTTGGGATTGAACTTATTGGATTTTTTTTCTTGAATGATGTTGTATGGGGTACTATTATAGATGTGAGGGAATAGTAATCTCACATAAACATATGTCTATACAAAGTTTTATTCATTATTGCTATTTTACAGGTATATTTTTGAAGTTAAATCTCACAAAATTAGTAGTTCAAAAAAAAAATAAAAAAATAAAAATCTATTGCGGCGTTTTTCAAAACGCCACTATAGTTATATTTTTAAAATAATAAAAAAGCTATTATGACGTTTTTAAAGCGTCGCTAAATGCCTATGTGATGTCATGTTACCGTTGACTGCCACATTTAGCGGTGTTTATAAAAACGCCGCCTATACTAATTTTACGACGCATTTAAAGCGTCATAAACTTACAGCGACGACCGCGTCCTTGGCGTTTGGTAGTAAGTGTCACTAAAGGAATTAAAGGCGTTTTTCAGACATATAGCGCTAAAGTCATTTTTCCAGCAGTGAACGGAGTGTGAATGTTTGTTGTCACGAAGCTTTCATTATGTTGATACTATACTTAATTCATGAATTTGGATAGAGATTTATAAATAAAAAGAGAAAAATATAGGTAAAATGTAAATGAAATATAACTATATTTCACACTTTTTTTTCTTTTTTTTTTCTTCTTCAAATCACTCTCCAAATCCACGAACCAAACACAACCTTAAAGAAAAAAAAAAATTTAAAAAAAAAAAACCCATTTATTGACTTTGGTTAACAATATTACTACACGAGGTTGAATTTGAATTTGGAATTTAAATAAAGTGACAAAGGTAAAAAATTGTCACTTCACAAATCGCTGCGTAAAATTCAAACGCAATTTTATTTACTATTGAAGTTTTGAATTTGAACCCACTAACTAAGGGGTGATGGACGTTGTCATTATGATATGCATAAGCAACTCTATTTGATTTCACATTATTAGATTTTCTTATATAGTTTAATGTTCATTCTCACAAAATTAGAGTTTAAAATTGTCATGGTATTTATAAATTATCTCTTGCCAATTCAAAAAAAATAAAATAAAATTTGGCCATGATGGCCAATTGCAAGGGATAATGTGACAACCAAGAAGAAGGTTCGAAAAAAAATAAAAATTGCATAACTTATATGTAATGATAACTACTAAATTATTTTGAACATCACAACCATCCAGAAAAAAGAAAACCAGAAAATTCTGGTATTTTTACAATTAAAAAAAGAAAAAGAAAAAAAAGCAGGGTATAGTAGCTAGATGCCTAGAACGCACATAGGCCTATTTTGAGAAGGTGGTAAAAAGTAATTTTTTGACTTTTAATCAAGTTTTTGGCTTTTTTAGACAAATGATTTGGGAAGTTGATAAAAAGTAACTTTTGATTTTTTTTATTAATATTTGTTTATGATGTTAAATCATAATAAAATGACCAAACTATCCCCATTTAGTTTAAAATAGTTACAACTTCACTCATGTAACACATTTTGACCCATGAGGGATAGAATTGTAATTTCACCATTGGCTAAAAACCAACTTCCCAAATGAAAAAAAATTCAAAAAAACTAACTTATAGCTTTTGCTACAAACCAAAAAAAGTGACTAAAAGTCAACTTCCCAAAACAAGCCATAATATGGAGGGGTCACAGCAACAGAATATGGCTAGGCTGCAATTTCAAACAAAAAATTACTTATCAATATTGGAATTTTTAAAAGATAAAACAAACAAACAAACATACACACACATATACATATATATTAAAATATACTTGTATATTAATAATATATGGTTATGTTTGTTTAGAGGACTGGATTAGCGTATACAGGATAACTAATTCAGTGGATTTCACATATGTTTTTTCAGTAATCATGAGATTGTTGGATGAAATTATATATACCATGCATTATTGAGCTAAAGTAGAATAAAATTTAAAGAATTAGTTTTGGCCCATTTTTTTTTTTTTTTTTGGAGAGAGAATTAGTTTTGACCATTATTAGATGGTAGAGGAGAAGAAATCATTTAGAGTGAACATAATTTAAGGTACTGAGATATGTATCAATATCAGTAATACAATCATATATCGGTTAATATACATCGATGAATAATAGCATCAAAAATCTAAAACTCTCATACATAATAGGCATACGATATATAAACGACCAATATTAAAACCTTAGAAGTGGGATTTAATAGTCCCTGTTTAGAGATTTAACAGTCTAAGACTGTATCCAGCCAAACAAATTGAGAGATTAAGAGACAAAATATAGACAAGATACCCCACGTCTCCTAGTTCAATTACCTCCTCTATGGCTATGACATTATGTTGAGTTTCTCTCTGTGATTTTCGGCGCCCCTCCGACAATTTTTCATCAACTTTCTAACGAGAAATAAAAGCACATTCAAAGTGTAAATTTGGATTTTTTATACTTAGGAAGAGGTGTTTGAGAGTTTCTTTCCCGATTTCTAACATAGATTTTTGAATTTTTAATACTCATACTGGTCTCCCTTCTTTCAATTCTCCTCCCTACTATTGTGGGTGTTCTTCTTCTTCAACTTTGGCTTCCGACGATGACCAATGTACAAGAAGGCAGTGACAGAGTTAGGTAGCGGTGACAAGGACGACGACAACAACGGTGACGATGGGGTTGAACTTTATTTAAATGTGTATCTTGTTCTTTCAAATCACATTTATGAGAAGATTAATGATTTCTCATATTGTACCTTTTTTTTCTTTTTTTCTTTTTGTGGAATTTGTTGTTTGTTGTTTGTTGTTATAGTTTCAGTAAGGTTTCTTGTTTGATTTTTTATATTTTCTTATAATTATTCTGTATGATATTAATTTTTATTTTAATATAAAAGATTTTGTGTAAGATTATATATGGTGTACAATGCACACTCAAAATTTTTCCTCCATATATCATGTAATAAAGAGAAGAAACTAGATATACCATCGTTCAAGGAAACCAGGTTGGCTCTGTGGTGGTGGTGGAGCAGTATACTGAGGTGGTGCCATCACTGGGGGGCCTTGATAATAACCCTATTTCACAAAATATAATAATAAATAAATAAATCAATTATTAGAAATATGAGAAAGCCTATCGGGTCCATCCTTCAAAGGTATATATCGTATATATCTTATCATAAGTTCGTGTTAAATTAGTGTAATTTTATCATAAATTTTGGTAACATCAATTATAAAATATATAATTTTGTCACAAATTAATATAACAAAATGTTTAAAATTTTATGACTGGCCTAACTTTATCATGAATTTTTGTGATATCAATCACAAAATGTATAACCTTGTCATAAATTAGCATAACAAATTGTCTAAAATTTTGTAATTGATGTTATAAAAATTTATAGCCTAGTTACAACATTTTGTTTTATGTCAATTTGTGAAGTTATGCATTTTGTGATTAATATGATGAAATTTTATGGGTGTCTAAAATTTTGTGATTGGACATATAAAAATTTATGATTTAGTTACGGCATTTTTTGTTATCTCAATTTGTAACGAGATTATACATTTTACAATTAATATTATAAAATTTGACAATAAAATTACACAAATTTAAGATACGATATTAAGAGGGTAATTTGTGAGCAAATTAGGCCGAACTAGGATGAGTCTTCTTTGGAAGTTGGGCCGCATAATGGGCTAAGGAGATATTTTGTATTTTGGCTTTGGGCCGAAGTAGGTACTAGGACGGTTGGATGTGTTGCTGGGATTGAGACCTATTTACCTTCTGGCCGGGATGATGGCAGGGGCCGAGCTAGGTGTAGCTCGGCAGGATGCCAACCTGTAGCATGGTCATCACGGCTTGCCCATGTTGAGCACGGAGCCGAGGTAACGTCAATGGTGAGGGCCGAGCTGTGTATAACTCGGCAGGGTGGCATTCGATAGATCGGCTTTCGATCACACGGTCCAAATGGCAGGGGACCGAGATAAGACAGTTCGGTCAGGAATGTATAACCGAGGTAAAGGGCTCAACCATCTCACTTGGCTTGCAGTGATGAGACTCCTAGGAGGACTTTGCTAAGGAGAGTTAGAGTCTTACTGGGATTGTGCAAACCATCTCACTTGGTTGGTAGTGAGTAGGGTGTGTGATTCCTAGAAAGACTCTTAGAAGGAGAGTTGGAATCCTACTAGGATTGGGCCAAACCAAGTCTATAAAAGCTCATGACCAGACCTATGTAGAGGTATCCCAATTCTTACTCTAGAATATACAGAGCTTATTGTCTATTGTCTTGTTGCTGACTTAGGCATCG